TTTAGTTTACTTCAGTCCCTGAAGAAGGTAACTTTGTTACCGAAAAGTGCTTCGGACAACTACAGTGTCTTGTTTTGGCGTTGGGGTTTTGAGCTATTCTGTTTGTTCTACTCTATAACTTAAACGAATAATTTGAGCATCGCACCTCAGTAAGCAGTGAAGAGTGGTTTGAATCGGGAGAAAGTTTTCTATGTAAAAGACAAAAAAGCCGTAAAAATATTAGTCTTAGTGGACCTATACTAAAGGAAAAAGTTGAAAAATTTGCTAAGTCACCGGTAATCCATAATTTTAAAGCTTAAACTTAAACCCTTAGTAGATAAGTAAAAACCTCAATAACTCAAATTATTTAAAGTTTCCCTTGGTCTTTATCTTGTCGAGGTTCTACTGTATTTTAATTGTTTATCAAATACAAGGGCAGTGGATCATAAATACTAATCATATTATGGGTTCTGCCACCAACCAGGAAAACCACACACGCATTATTCATATTACTATTAATGGGTCAATTCCAAACTGTATTTCGGATAGACCCATTTATCCATCCATTAGGGAAGGAAATCAAATAAGGGGCTGTTCATAAACCATGTGACTCTATTTCAACCAATTTCGAGCCCCCTTCCATTAACATGGTCTAAAATAGTTTTATCCTTAGAATCCCCGGTACAACGTGTTCTTTTTAACTTTTTTGAAATATAATCTTCATAACAAATTTTATTTTAATTCTATTTTTTATTAAATATTATCTGAAATCAACCCCCACATGGTTAAGAATTGCCTTTTACCAAACCCCTCTCCCACCCCCTATGCAGTCATAAGCTTTATGAACAACCTTTAAATTTTTCAACTTTAACAGTAGATAAAATCGACACATCCAATAAAATGACAAGAAAATCATTAAAAAAATAGTCTGGCGAGAACAAATTAATAAAAAAAAAATAGAAACGAAATGCGAAGAAATTTAGGATACTTCAAGGAGTTCTGTAAAACCTTCCCCGGTGATGAAATTATAAAACAAAACTGAAGAACAACATTTGCTACTATAAATTAAGATTATTGCAAAGTTAAAAACTACTTCTATTGAAGACAAATCTTGTGCAGAGTTCATTACCATTTCCAAATTACTTGCGGGTTAAAAACCTTCTTAATTAATTAATCAATTAATACATTAATAGTTTGCAAAGATCTTCTAATTCCGTTCATTAGACAAATAAAACTTTACAAAACATTTCCGGCAAATGCTTTTACAAAGGCAAACTTTAAAATTAATTCGAGTCCGAACCCCTTCCTCTTTTGCTAGACTTAATAAATTCTTAATGTTTTATATAAAACCATTATTTCAAAATTAGTAGAAAAAAATACTAACGAAAATAACGAATGTTGATCAAAGATTTTCAGAGAATAGTTTCATTTCAAGAAAAGTGGGCAACAATTTTTATAAACTCCTTCCTTGTTAAAATCCTGGATCCATCCCTGTTCTATAAGAACATACATTTATTCTTCATCATGAACGATTATATTATTAAACATACATAAAAACTAAACCAAGGATAAATACTGTACTTATGCAAAACATTACAGAATTTAATATAAAACCAAAATATAATTAATTAAAATAACTAAATATGAATAATTTAATTAGGATGTTATCTTTTCTATCATTAGGCTCTAATAATAATCTAAAATTATGTTTCCTTCAGCCACGGTTAGTTATTTAAGCATAATTAAGTATATATGCATGCATATAGATACATGAATTGCATTAAGACATAACAAATGCATAAAGTAGGTAATTAAGTGACTCATACTCCAGCACGTAATTATAGAATAAGTAATTCTATTAAATGCTCATTAATAAGACCGTAGAAAATGAATTTTAATTAAACATTACGAGAAAACAAATAATCAAATCAATCTTGAATTTAGACGAGTAGAATTTTTTAATTTCCAGTAATAATTAACAAATCAATATATTTACTAAATACTGGAGTTCAAATAAGTTTGGATATTATATTTATAAAATATTAAAATTAGGATCTGCTCATAAATTATGTAATGCAAATTGGGAGGAGAGGGGGTCCAGCCTAGAGTTATAAGTGTTATTTTGAGGGAGGGACAGTCAACGATTTTAAAATCGGAAATTGTCGTTAAATAATAAAATTTACTTCTTTCCTTCGACGGCAAAGCATTACAGTACATATAAAAAATCTTCCTTTTAACATTATTTATGTTTTTGGTGGGAATACGTTCTTGTAAATGCAGAGGTGATGGTTAGATATGTGGAATGTTGTAGTTTTTAGGAATGCAAAGATTTGCTCAGGATAGGAAGAAAGGGAGTCTTTGGACCTTGTGTTGATGAACCGACAAGAAGTGAGTCCTCCTCGCACATATCTGCGATCCTTTATTCTTTATTGTTCTTATGGTTAGTCATATAGAATAAAAAAGTTAGTCATTTCCTGACCTAATCCTTTATTTCAAATTTTTAGAACAAGTACTGATCGTATGTAGATTTTGATCAAAGATGTAACAAGGATTTCACCTCGGACAGGGGGGTGGATATCAGTTTACAAAAAGAAACAGTTGTGAATATTATTCATGTTTAGTTTTATAAGCGTAACAATCCTCCCTGGTCTTGGTTTAAATGAGTGATTGAAAGAGGCCGTGAATGTCAAAATAAGCGACTTTTGAAAGCCAGTATCTCCCTATTGTATTCAGTCAAACGTCAGAAGATTGAACTTTTTACTAGATTATGGACTATCTTTGATATCAATTACTTTCTGGCTTGATAAGATAGATAATTAGACATAGGAAAATTAAAAAGAAAAAAATAAGGTCTAATTATTATCATTAATTGGAAGAACACTACTCGACGAAGCAATTTTTTCTAAAATAAATACATGCAATCATCCGGCACTTTTCAAATTCTGAAAGGACTTGTTATTCACAAACGAGGGCAAATTTAACGTATTTGGAAATGATGGAAGCATGAATGGCACAAGAACAAATGAAAAACTGAAAAAAAGAAAATTTGGTAGCTGGAGTACTTTGAGGGAAATGTGTTAATTTGTGGTTCAATGTCGTGTAGGTATTTTCTATTATCTATTATCTGGAAGAGTAAAAATAGCCGCTAGTTATCCATTAGACACAGTATAGCCTTTTGTCATCGAATCCTTGTATCTTGTATTTGACATTTTCACAAGAAAATAGGTACATTTGGTACAAACGTTATACCTTATACCGTTTTCATCTAATTGTACGACGATGTTCAGTGTTCAGTGGTTACCTTTCCCTAAGCGAAACTTACTCGGTCTTTGTCATGAATTCTTTTGGTGACTTGCTTAAGTATGTACATTTAACATAGCAAAGAGAAAGTTACTTGTTTTGTATGTTACTATACCGATATCTTCATCGAAAATCTACGATTTGAATTAAATTCTAAACGCAAATGATACTTTATATATAATAAAGTTATTCAATACTTCCTAGCTTCTCTCATTTTTAGTATAACCACTAACTTTTTGAACAATTCATCGGTATAGAAATCAAAAAAATTTCGCAGATATGTCGTAAATAATTGTCATTAACTTCAATTGAGATTGTTACTATTTCTATGTGTTTCAAAGAAGAATCAAAAGCATGGGGTTTAGCCATATTTTTCTCCCATGTCTATCACAAAAAAAGGGTTCTTCGTAACAAGCTACAAAAGGATAGAAATGAACAGAGGACACGACGAAACTGATTAGGAAAAAGGACAAATATGATGCTAGGATACCTTCTGAGAGATGAAAGGTTAGTCAGAGGTATATTAGAAGCATAAAAGGAGTAAAGAGGAGCAAGAGAAGAAGGGAAGACCTAAATTAGGTTACTGCTAGCAAATGGTTAGAGATGTAGGGTATTCCTAACGACTAACGACTCTATGACGAAAACTTTTTAGGGTTTTCCCTAATATGAGACCTTGTACAAAACCAACACCAATGGTACCTTACTAACTATACGATGTGCCTGAACGTATGTGCTCATTGCTGCTCCCCACTTTACGTTTCCATGACCCATTTAATGGCAAGAAATAAAATATTATCCAACATAGTGCACTCTTGTCTAGTTTCTTCTACAATGTAGGTACCTAGGCATAATACATAAAAGTCAAAGACGTCTATTCTCAATATAGTGAAATGTTAAACAAGACACGGGCACAAAGGACTACGAAAAAACCTTGGAATATCTCTTGGGTTTCTTGCGACTTTTTTATCGTCACTTTAGATCGCAAGTGCAATTCGAGCGTGTTATAGTGCCGTCTCTCTCACTCAATTAAGTGTAATGAAGATATTACAAGAGACAACATATTACCTAGTTAAGAGTATGCAAATCGCGGCTGGCGTTGAAGACCTCCCATATCGCGGTTGACCGTGCCTGCTGCCGCCCAACGCACTCTCTCTGATTTAGAGTCACTACACACGGGCCTAGTTTGCAAAACGAGGTTCCGTGAGAATATGCTGCTTGCCGCACAAAGAGAGCCATGATTTAAGGGACGGAGCAATTAATTTATGGAAGCTAAAGGCCGCACTCTTTCTTGACGAGCATCGAAACGCTAACTATAGTCACTACTACGCGGAATACACACAGCCACACATGGACGTACACGCAATCTACGTGTGCTGGCATTGTATAGTACCTACAACTCGGTAGGCCGTGGATTGGCAAAGTGTTGTTTTTGTTTTTATTTATCTTTTTTTTTTTTGCATTGGCCATTGCAGCGCCGCCGCGAGTGAGCCTTGTTATTGCCCATGTTGTCGAGCTATCCCAATCTTGGCCATCGATTGCGTTTTATGAGTATCGATTAATTGAAGAAGGTCAACTGGATGATAGATCTACTTATAACGCACGCAAATGACCGCAACGATATACACCACGACACACAAAAAAGGGACATTTTTATTCCCCTGCATAGGGCTATACACCCCATTATGAGACGTTAAATTATTTACAATTGAAAGAAATCACTATAAAATCTAATATAAGAAATCCTAATTTTGATAAAGACTCGTTTGAAATTATTACATATTTAAAGGAATATTTTTTTACATTTACAAGTCTTTCAACCAGGGGAGAGTTAAATCTCCAAAAGCCCTGCTATATAATACTTATAAAACCAATTTTCTAAGTCTTGCAAGAACCTTCTCATTAATTTCGAAATCAATCAGTTTTACGAGTCAAATCAATTGGTAACCAATAAATTCCGTCAAAATTTAATAACACCCTCATTAAAGATGGTTACTAAAATGATTAAGTTAGGATTGGTCACCCTTTTTTAAAGAAACTTAACAATTTACAAATAAATCTTAAAAAGAAATCAATTTAATCAGCAAAAGTAGGTTTCGAAAATTGAGCTTTCATTAGTTGATTCCAACAGGATCAAATCATTCGCGCCTTCCGTCAATAATTATTTTTGAACACTAAAAACGAATGCTGATGAAATCCTAGGCTAACCCAAGATTGACCACCTCGGTATAAATGAATTTCATTGCCTGAAGGAGGCCAACTTAAAGATAGATTTGCTCAGAAGTTTTCAATTTGGATGAAAGGAACCAAATAGTTCGATATAGGAATGCAGAGGTAGAGCCATGGTCACGCAAACAGGCCCAGAACTCATAGAACGTCACAAGTGGCTCCACATTCCAATTATGTACTTCTTGTAAAAATTGTAAAATGACGTATTATTTAGGAATTTAATTGTTTGACTTTTATCCCCAAAAAAAAATAAACCAATTTTAATTTGTTGGATATAAGAGGGTGGCAGGATGATTTCTCAAATTTGGATGCGCTCTTCACAGTGATTCAAACCAATTTTACTTTGTATGACGCAAAAGCACGGCAGAGTGTCACAAGGTGACATGTTTTAGCGAAAATGGGTTTTCGTATAATCGAAGGAAATGATTCTTGAATTTTGGTTCATTTTTAACCAATTTTCAAATTTGGACGAACAAAATTCCGTTCCTTAGGATAGTTCAACCAAGGCGAATCTAATAAGACATGGAGCCCCGCAAATGGCGCCATATTCCAGTTACGCATTCTTGTAAAAACTAACAATTACGCGTTGTTTAAGAATTTTATTATTATAATTACTCAACACTTATTAACAGATGTTCCGGAGCTGCCAACAAACTTAATAGTGCGAGAACAACGCCGAAAAAGATCGCTCATGTTAAAATGGGAACCAGGTGGATCTCCGCCAGGTATAGTTCTGTATTTAGTGGAAGAACGACATCACATTGGAAAATACCTCGTCGAAAATCGTATGAGCCATTGGACTCCTTGCATACGTACCCCTAAACCGAAAATAGTATTGAAAAAGATTTTAAAACCCGGCCGTTGGTACCAATTCAGAGTTACAGCAGTCAACAAAAACGGCACCAAGGGTTATTCAGAGCCGTCCAGGTTCGTTACGTCATCAGGTATGAAGAAATTATTTTCTAATTGATAAAAATACGTAGTCCTCAGGTAACTTTGTCTTTAGTAATGCAGTTCCAGGTCCTCGGCCACCAAAGCCGCCCGAAAACATCACCGTTGAACTTCTGAGCATCAACAACAGCTCCATGAACTTTCTGGTGAAGTGGACGCCACCATATTCTGATCTACCGATACAGAAATATAAAGTGTTTTGGAGCAGACGACTCAAAGGCATCATAAATTTGGATTCCGTTTTGGTACATCATAAAACCGTACAAAAGGTAAGTCAAAAGAATTTTACATTATTATTAACAACATCCACGAATTTCTAAACCTACTCAAGGAAAGGTAAGTGAAATTAAAATAAGTGGTAGAAATTCGGCCATTTGCGTCTTTTTATCTTTAATTTAATATATGGTAAATGTGAATACTTGTGACATACACAATAACTAACTATAACTGTTTAACTTTTTTTACGACCTGCATAAGGGATCACGACCCCCTAAAAACCTTTCATTTAGGTCATATTTATCAATGAAGTTATGTAATATAAGACATTATCTATTACTAAATTACTTAATGGCTGTTCTCTTTAAACTTACATTTAAATTATATGCGTTTGAAATTACGGCTGCTAGAATACGCAATATTTTATAACCTCTAATACATTAAAAACATTGCGCCCTTTTTAAAAAATTAAATTACATGTAGGCTACATTTATTGTACAATACCTTAGCGACTGTAAAACGTCTAGATTGATCTATTTTATAAAAGATATTGTTCTTAGTTTGTATGAGTACCATACAAAAAAAAAATAAAAAAATCTGACCGCATTGAGGAGTCGATGGCTAGTCGTGGGGCTATTGACAAAATGACGTTTGTGGCGAAATTGTATCATATTGTTCACCCCCATAAACCTTCAAATTGTAAATTTTATCGAAATCGTTAAAACAGTTTTATGGAGGATAGGGTACTGTCAGCAAAACTTACGCTGTTTTCATTTTGCATAAAAAAAAACACCAGTTAAAATTCAGCGTTTATTTCCTTTCCCATTTTTTTTTAAGAAGCGTACAGTATTTTTTATTTATTTAGAATAATGGCCTTTATTTATTTGGGTACCCATGTACACGCCACTGTCGTTTTAACCGATTCAATTTCCCAAATATCGGTCAAATCGTTGGGGATAACGTTAATTCGTCTAGAGCCAGTATAAACACTTGATGCTGCCGTTTGTCGTTTCAGAACATCAATCACCCACTCTTTCTTTTGACACCAACCATGTTTTTGACATTTTTCTGCATTTTTTGTAAAACCGCAATTGATTTTTGAAATTTTGCTGCAAAATAATATTCACTACAACTACAACTAACTAACATTACAAGTTAAATAAGTAATGATAACGAGAGGTAGTAGGCCGCCATCTGTGAAGATTTGCTAGTAATTGTGGATTCATAATTGTACAAGTAATATCAATATAAATGGGTGCTTCCACGAAAATAGGGCAACTCTACGTCCACAGGCATTTTTCACTGCATCCGATTAAATAAATTTTGCTTTTTAGTTAATAGGTAACCGCTTAATATTTATTTTATTTATTGCCCTCAAAATGTTTGAAATAATTTAGAATTATACTTTGAAAAACTTTCTTAACTACCACAAATATCAGGNATACTGCAAATTTATAATATTTGTGAGTCACTTGAAATTACCAAATTGGTCACTCGGTGACCCACGGGTCTTAGGTTGCCGACCCCTGTACTATATTGTGGTACACACGACTGACCGTGTTACGGGATAACTATCCCAGTAACAATATTGTGACTGTTTTTTTTTTTAAGTGAACTATTATTGGAAATTAAAAAAATTTTTCTTCTTTGAATTCAAGTCTGAAACTTTTGCAAAATATGTTACGTAACGGAATTGAGAGGAGTGGGAAGGGGGGTCAGACCAGGCTTTACGGTAGGGGAAGCAAGGGGGGGGGGGTAAAAATTGATGAATTTCAGGTAACGTAATTTATCGACAAGTTTGACTTGATTGTGATTTTATGGTATTCCGTCGACATCACCACAAGCGAAATTCCCTAAAAGAAGTATATCAGTGTATACTGATTGTCAGTTTGTAGATTACGAGATTAGTCAAAAGATTACGTTAATGAGGATTGCACTTGATAAATATAACGAAAATTCTGTTTTTGTACCGTGTCATTTTATGTTTCTTGCATGATTTGGCACAATGTGTATGAAGACTTGAAAGTTTATAAGAAAAGTGGGACACCCTGTATAGGTATTATGGATTGTTTTGCCGATCAAGGAAACGATGGTATGGTCTATTCTTTGATAAAAGTTCCCAGAGAGCGTTGGTGGTCCAATTAATATTCAGTTGGGCAAAGAGTTACAAAAACTAGGTTGTTTCTGCATAAAACGAAACCTGTTCGATAGCCATTCGAAATTTTGGCCGATTTATGAAGTCATTTGGATGTAATTGATGTCTCCCCTCGATGAAGAACGGAGTAAACTTATATTAATTCGGCCGGTCTTCATTAAGATAAAATTTAAAGGACCACCAACATTTGACGCTTGATGAAGAAATCATCGGCAGATGTTTTAAGAAAAGAAACGAACGAGAAGATAAAAACGATCCACTTCCAAACGTATTGCCTATTTATCGAACGATCATATTCAACAGCTTTTCAAAAGCTAATTAAAACCTTACAAAATCGTATTCAAATTACACCTGATTAAGTTTACTTTGTAGCGCCAACGACGTCCGACTTCGACGGGCTCCACTAAATAAACCTCCGTAACTGATTGGGACAAAAAAAAAAGACAACACAAGGCGCTTAATGGATTGAAAGTCAAATAAATTTTTCCAATTGGAAATAATATCATTCTTAACATCTTTATCAATTCATATAAGTACATAAATAGTTAAAAGAACTTATTCAGTACGTATACATTAAATAACTACAGTTGAACCTTGATAACGTAATAACCTCTATAAATTCATAAAATTTTGTGTTCCCTTCCCCTCGGGGTCCAAAACCTCTACTACTTAAAATAATAACCCTCTATAACTTAATATGAAGATTGGAAAAACTTTGGCGGTTGTTGTAGAACAAACAGAATAGCTCAAACCCCAACGCCAAAATTCCTTAAATCTGGTTTTGATTGAGCGAACATCTAGCTCATGCTAAGTTTAGTAGAGAAGAAAAATCTAGTGTTGCCCAACATATTCTTACTGATGGACATAATATTAATATTAATAACCTTAAGTTAGTTAAAGAAGTTAGGAATAATCGTTTACTAAACAGTTTTGAAAGTTTATACATTTATAAAAATAAACAAATTGTTCTTAACAATGACAACGGTCCTATCCCTGGATCTCCGCTATTTAGTTTAGTTTAATTACGTTTATGATGATGATGTTAAGGTCCATTGAACATCTACCTTGTTGGCTTCGGGTCATGTTCACTGAACCTTAACAACTATCAGTATAAATTAGGATTAGTTCTCATTTAGGTTTAGTTTACTTCAGTCCCTGAAGAAGGTAACTTTGTTACCGAAAAGTGCTTCGGACAACTACA